GATATGAGATGATAAATAGCCAACGAGGCGCGTAGCGCCGAGTTGGCTATCTATCATCTCATATCCAACGCGCGCTCGTGGAATAATTGTTAAATAGATGCACGCGGGAGGTTGCTAAGCTCCAAAGAACCGTAAGAGTTGCGCGAGGCGATAACTGAGAGCGACTCTAGCCTCTTGAGTGCTTAGTAAACCTTCCAAGTGCATCCATATCTCAATAGTTTACGCTGTGGCGTTTACCATTTGATTTATAGCATAACACTGATACCTTGTAGCAAAAGAGTTTTCTTTTATTTAACAAATCTTACGTGACCAGAAAAGACAAACGCGCGCGGAAAACTAGTCTTTGCATTTGCTAATGACAGCAACGTACACCCAAGGGCAAATGGTGGACGCTGAATTGACCAATTAAAGCGTGTGCTTTACTTTGGTTGTCTTATAATCCAAGTTCCGAGTTCCTTACTTGAAATATATGACTGAGAATGAGAATCTTTTTAAGTAAGACGAAAAAGAATGCCCAAGTTTCAGAGCAATTACACAAGCAGAATTATCATATCCACCTTTAATAATAATTGTTACGGTGATTATGGAGGTGTGCGTACTCTGATTGGTTGAGGATTGCGTCATATCTCGCTATAATCTCGCTCGAAACTCACTATTTTAGGGAAGTGTTTAATTTGTAATTTCTTTTTAGTATTTCATATAGTATACATATTCGCAGTTTATTGTGCATTCAAATTTGTAAAAGTAATTTCGTATTCAACTTCATCATGTAAAGCGCATTTGATCATATCCTCCTGTTTGTTAATTTGCTTTATATAAATATTAAATATTATCATCATTATTATTGTTATTATAATGTCCTCATACAAGGTGACTGTATCAGGTGCGCGAAATTTCAAAATGGTGGCCTCGCATTGAGTCAATGTTACTAAGGGACCGGAGTGATGATCGCGATAAAAGATAATTCAAATCAGGTAAAACGTAAAAGATGCTACTGAGTATTGCGTAAAACTGATGAAACAAAAATGTGAATTTTTTGAGGCAGATAAACCAGTCAAATTCACACGCATAGATTTGGTACGTTACAAGGTTGCGGGAAAAGGAATTCATGTAAAGCAGTTTACGCCTCAAGCTCAGGGATGGAAATTTCCCCGATACGAATTCCACCGGATTACTAAATCATATTCTCTAAGTCTGGGTCGCGTAATTGTTAAATGGGATCTGATGAGGCAAAGGTGCCATGTTTACATACCAATATGGGACTCACTACCGCGAGTTGATCGTAGAGGAACCTTGCTTCCGTGATGTTGCAAGATTGTAAAGTGACCTTTCGTTTCAAAGAGAAATATAATTTTTAATCAGTTATAAGACCTATAAACTTCTTTCCTAAAGGCATGATTAACAGGTTCATTAGAAGAAAAAAATCAAAATAAAGACATTCTTACTTACCGAGTACGATTTCCGTACTTTAAGTCGCTAACCGAGTTCCTTCCACTCGAGTTTATGGTTCAAGTACGTAGCGTCCGGGCCACAAATTCGAGCAGGAGAAGCAAGGTTCTTTATTGACTCTCAGACTATCG